AAGAAGACCTGTGGTAAAATCTTTAATTATAATCATTCAGAACAAAGTTAATTAAAAGCACATCTTTAATGTAGCGGAATGGTTTTCCCCACATGCCACCATTTGGGACTGCTCTCTTCTGCCCTCTCTGTTATTTAACTTAAATAGTAACAAATAGCTGTGAATGTAGTTCTAATTTTCTCTTATCTGCTGAACAAGGGCATGTGTTCCAACCGGGTTTGTACAGAAGGCTGTAGTGTTTTCTTTTTGCAGGAAAAGAAATAATCTCTCTCACTCTTTATTATTGTGGAAAGAAGTTAAAAGAGTAACTACAAAATTTGAATTTATAAGCTTCTTGGGAGCTAGCTTTTAGCCTTTTTGCTCCTGTTTTCCAGCACGAAGCAGATCAGGTGTTCTGGGAACTATCAATACCCCTGTTGATGGTCAGTCTGCTGAGACAACTTGCTCTATAAGCTGCTGGTCTGGCACTGCACTCACAACAGCTGCCACCTGACCTGAGATCCCTGTGATGTGATGTTTGGCCACAGAAATTATGTAAGGACATAGGGGGTGGGGGTGGAGATGTAAATGCAGCTGTGCAGTTGAAGTCTGGTGATGAAGGTGGTGTTTCAAATGCCTGGAAGGTTAAAAGTGCTTTTCTTTAAGGAGGGAACTTTGGTGGCATTGCCTGCCTGCACGGAGAGCACTGTCAGGCCTTTTGTTAATTAACCATGGCTTATGAAGGAGAGCAGAGAGGATTTTTCTTGGATTTTTTCCAGGAGTGGCTTAAGAGTTTCTCAAAAGGTGGAAAAACTGACAGACATAACAATGCCTTAAAAAATCTGTGGGGTTGCAACATACCCCTATCTCAGAGCCTTTTCTATGTGTTGTGTCCATGCCTAAATACTGTATGTTTTGATGTTTGGTTGATTTTTATTTTTTAAGCAATGAAAATTGTTTCCAAAGCATTTCTATGTCCCTTTCCCAAACTAGGCTGCACTAAATTATTACTAACATTTCATTTAGCTACAGGCTTCCCAAATTAGAGTTTATCTTACTGTGTTCAAAACCAAATCAGCCCTGACACTGTTGCAGTTGTTCTTGTTTCTGGCTCACAGAAAACCAGACTGGTAGTGAAACGCATTCTCATTCTGCTCCTTGCCCCCAAAAACTCAGTGCCAATGAGCACAGTAAGACAATAAATCGATTCTGAAGCTTATAGGTGAGACATTAGCAGGAACCTTTTAAGAAGAGACTAAAAGGGAAGGGTTAGAACTCCTGCATCTTCAAAATATTTGTCTATCTGGCATGTCAAGTGCCAGAACAATTGTGTGCTGTGAGCCCATGTGTCAGTGGCAATTTGAGGTAGGTAGAAAGCTGACTTTCAGGCCAGCTTGAACAGTAAGTGAACAGGACAGGTTTTATTTTAATGCTATTGTGAAGCAGGCACTTTAAAGCTTCTCGTTAGAAGTCTGTGAAGAGCCAATCAAGGAATTTTATCGGGGAAAGTAAACCCTCTAAAGATGCTTTCTGAGCACTGCAGTGAAGTGGCATCGCAGGGCCTCATGCTGCAGGTCTGAGTTTGGGCAGGGAGGAAGGAACCAATAGCATAGGTAACATATCTAAACTGAGGTTTTAATACGCATCAAACATTTAAAAAATTGAAAAAATGTTATAGAGAAATATAATCACGGTAATTATAAAGCCTTTTTTAGGAGTTTAGTGTTTCTCACCCAGCTCACATGCATCAGTGTAAAGAAATGCTGAGTTCACAGTTATATCAGCTTCAGGAGTTGATAATGCAGTGAATGATTGCCTGGTTTTTATCAGCTCTCCGAGTGAAATTTTCAAGTTAAAAATAACTGTTTCTGTTAACGGAATAAACATTTAAAAATTTTAGCATGCAGGAGTTTTCACAAACTGTCCACATATTAAAAATAACAATATTACATTAAATTTTTATCAACTGAGATAACCTTAGTCTACAACAAATTGCTACTCCAGAAAAGCTGGACTAAACTTTTCTGACCATAGAATGAGAGAGAAAACAGAGTCAAAACTTAACACTTCTGTCTCTACTAATTTTCAATATTCTGTATAATAGATCCACTAATAAATTTTGAGATTAAAGACATAACTGATTGAGATAGTGAATACTTAAATATCTTCCATTTCAAGATATGTTTGTCCTACTCTGTTTCTATCATAGGTTTGAGTCTTTTTGGTAAAATTATACTTTTCAAAATTAAATATATTTCTTAGAGGTAAAATCATGGATAGCTCAAAAACTCCTAGGTGCCTTTTAAAAGGTGAATTCTCAACAGCAAATGGCACACTAATATTTCATCCTGGTTAAAATGGAGATAAAATATTGCAATTAGTACAGGTATAGGTTACAGTTGTAACTAAAAAATCTTAAAAAATCTTGCTGGTTTACCATGGTACCATGGCCAATTTATTTAGTACATTCTGGATGTTACATGACCTCAGATTATTAAATGGCTATCAAATATAATAATGAAATAGCTTTCAAAGAGCATAGTAAACCTAATCATCTATAACAGTGTTACTGGGTACTACAATGTAATTTAAAAAAAAAAGGAAAGCGAGGTTTATAGTGATTCTGGCATGCTACATGCTCAGAGAAGATGCATATGTTAAAAATACATAAATTAATACATACATTGTTGAGGTCTGTTCGTATTTTGAATGCAAATTGTAGCTCCTAGTTCTTGGAAGTGTCAAAATAGCTGGAGCATAACTGAACCAAGCAATGTCAGATATTGGCTCAGATTTGCTGTACCTATAAGAAACCCATTTTATTTTCTGCCAGTATCAGGTGATCTCTTAAAAGTTATGTTCCAATAAAGTGTCACATGGGTGTGCTCACAGTGGTTCATTTTGCTGTGAATTTTCAGAACCGTATTCAGCAATGTGTGCAACCTTTCTTTGAGACTTGGTGTTATACCTTCTCTCTCAACAGTGCTTTTATATTTACTTTCTTTTAATAGGAGGCCGTAAAAATATATATCATAGTAAAGTTTAGCAGAAAAAAATTAAAATGTTAGGTCCAAAAAACCACAGGGAAGATGCTGGGTAATGGGGATGTGCATTTTTGAAAATACTGCCTTATCTCTAAATATTCCTGCCACTGAAGAGGATGACTTCGGGGCTACAAGCTGGATTTTTTTGTATTAGTAGATTCTGGAAAAAAGTGCCTTCAGTGGCAACATTAAAAGCAATAGTATATTCTCTACCCACCTCCTGCCACATCATCAGAAAAGGGAGATCCCTCTTGGAGAAATGTGTATGGATAAAGAATGTTTTTACATGGGGCAAATGGTGGGAAAGATGCAGAAATGCTGAAGAGACACTTTAATTCGCAGGAGACTCTTCTGAATTTCTCTAGAATTAAAACTCCTGACACCTTTTAATATTTCTTTCCCGGTAATTGAACAGGGGTAGGCAAAGCCATGAGCATGCAACCTTCAGATCAAAAATGACCTCTTAGTACTTATTTAGTGACTTGCATTTTCCAGGGAGCTTGGAAATGTCACTCGTATTAGAAAACTTGTGGCTGTAGAAAGTGTGAAAGTTCTGTTATGCACTGCCTCACTGTACTGATTGACATGAACCTTTTACATTGCAGTTTTTGGACTTAAAATAGTACTGCCAAACCAATGTCCTCCCCTTGGCATATTTTACTCTCCATTCAAACACCAGTTTGGTTAAGTGCAATATCTTTGTGAACCATCCTGCAGTGGCTTAGCTATTAGTGGAAGAAGCCAAGAAATTCAGAGCCAAACCCTAGCTTTAAAATGGAAAGAAAAAAAATATTATTGTGTTTGTTTGTGTTTATCAGATACATGATGTTGTTTATTTTGCTGTTCTCTTTTTCTGTGGCTCCAGACTGCTTAGATGGATTTTAAATTTTGAATGAGTTGTTAATTAGAGCAATTTCTTACCCTAACTAACTGCAAAGATCCCTGGAGAAATCTGTTCTTTTGCAGAAATCTTTGTGAGATTAAAAAACAGTTATGTATGTTTTAGGTACAGTGACATAAACTGTGAAGCTGTGTGTGCTATGCTTTGTCCATAGCTTCTACAGAGAGTTTATTTTCCTCGTTTATATTGCAAAGTTCAGGAAGAAAACAGTGTCCCTTGCTGAAAAGGTTCCAGTGAAGACCGTGAAATAATTAAAAGATGATCAAAACCAAAAATAATGCTGACTCTTAAACCTACAGTCACTGCAGGGACAGAGGGAGGCCTGGGTTCAATTCCCAGATCTTTAACAAAATATTGGAGCAATAAATAAGCAGAATAAAATAAGACAGCTGTATGGGGTGGGATGGAATGCTCTCACCCCCTGGAGTTTGCAGTGGTTAGGGAGCGCTCCCGGGGAGATGTGGGAATTGAACCTTTCCCATCCTGAGTGAGAACTGCAGCCACGGAGCTCTGGGAACTGGCTGATTTAGGATTGTGGAATAACTCAAGACAGCAGACACCCCAGGAGTTCCCAACCATCAGCCCAGCAGGAGTTTTCCTTGTCCCAGGGTGTCTGCCGCGTTCAGGCAGATGTACTGGCTGGTAAATCCAGCACATGGCAGCGCTGAAAAGTGAGAACTGGTACATTCGGGGATCAAGATCGAAAAATTGCGATTCCTTATTTACGGTCAGGAGATTTATAGTGAAGCTGGAATTTATACGCATGTATTGGGGCAGGAGAGCAAAGAATGAAAGTGAAAAGGTTTGGGGTTCCCGGCGGGCATTCTCACGTGCCGAACCATTGATCTGAGAGCTCTTGAGCTCATCATCTTCCTTTTCAGCTGAGCATTGTTACTGTTAGGGATGTAAATGAACGGAAATCGTGTAGTTCAGCACTATGCATGAAATTCCTCTTGGCAGGCACTAAGTGCTTTGTGTGTGTTCAAGATTAAGGTCTTGCTTTATTTAACAAGGCATTTCAGTGCTTGCCAGCCTACTTAGCAAGTACTTAGCATATTGAAGTTCTTGGAATTAAGCACATGTGTTTCCCTGACTCCGGACTAAATAAGAAGTTTTGTATTTTCATGGTAATTATTCTAAGATTACTTGAGGCTTGAGTTAATAGAAAGTTACTTGATCACTTTTTGTGCATGACAAGTTCCTCCTGGGTAGCTCTGATTAGGTAAGTAGTGGCTGTTTAGTTACTATATGATAACTACATGACAGATGTAATTGTGCTAACACTTTTCTGTCTATACTACAAACTGGTGAATATTTGTAATTACCTAATTTTCTAGGTCAGGCCATAGCACTGAGGCAGGAAAAAATTACAAGAAACAAAAGGATGAAAAGTGAATAGGGTATCAAATCTGGAATGGTTTTTCCAGTTTCCAATTACATCACTAGCTGTCCGGGGTCCAGATAACACAGGATGTGATTCAAATTGTCTCTTAAATTAAAATAGCGCCACTGAGGTCTTTCAAAGTGAAAACGTGGTTCAGTCTTAAATGGCAAAAGCTCCAGCTGGTCTGGGGAAAGACTTTTAAAATCTTTCCCCTTGGGCTACGTTGGTGTTCATTATAGATGTCTCCCTTATCCAACTAAGAGCTCTTACTCTTTTATATTTGTATCTACCGATATATTATATTTGTATCTATGCTAACCAATTATAGGATTATCACGGCTCTTAAATTGTGTAAAGTTGCAGGTGCCCTGAGCAGAAGGGAATTTAATACATGGAATACAAGACATCAGTGTGGAAAGCTGCAGAGCCAAGTTTTCTCAGGGAGGAGAAAAGACTGCACTCAAAGTTTGGGCTTGGGAAAGTTTTCTTCTGAATCCAAGCTGAGGTCTCTCTGTAGGTTTGAATTTATTACCATTTTAAAATAGTAAACAGAAAATAAAAAGGGAAGGACCAAGCAGCCCATCCCAGCTGCTGGTTGGCAGGCAGGGGTGTACAGAGAGCTACTGCCTCCATTGCTCAGGGTTGGGCACTTTGCTTCTGGCTCCTGCAATATGGCCAGTTCTGAGGTGCATTGAAGTTCCTGACTGTAGGAACCAAAATGAACTCGAGATTTTAGTCAGGAAAATTAATTCAAATGTTTTTAAGTCATATTGATATGGATAACCACATAGGAAACATAATGTTATATTTTTCGTGATTTAAAAGTTCTTATCTGAATGCAGAAAATGCCTAAAGGACATTTGACATTGAACTGAAATTTGAATTGAAATGGAATTTGAATGGAAAGGATCATAAACACCTTCTGAAGCTCTGTCTTTCCAGTGCTTCATTCCAGCCAGCACCTGGCAGTTGTTCTGCTAATTGAAACTCCAGTGGACACTGCAAAAATCTATCATCCTTTGTATTGATATTGTGATTTCCAGAAAGAGTTAAGGATGGAAGAACTGTGGGCTTTGTGCATTTGAATTGACACATTTGCATGACCAGGTGTTGTGTGGAAACTTGTTTTGGATGTGTTGTAAGAATTGCTTCTAAGAGTGCAACCCCCTTTTATCTGGTGTACATGTGTGTTAAACCTTTGACCCCTAAATGACCTTAGAGGCTCTGACCTCTTTATGACCTCTGACATTTTGATGACCTTTGACCTTTTGGATACCTTTGAATGACCTCTTGACCTTTTCAGTTACCTTTGACCACATGGCTGACCTTTGAGCTCTGGGTGACCTCTGACCTTTTGGCAACTTTTTTGAACCCGTGATGACTTTTGACCCTGCATGACCATTTGTCCTTTTGGATGACCTGTGAGCCCAGGATGACATCAGACCTTTGGGGATGACCTTTGACGCCTGGATGACCTTTGGTGTATTTTCCAGCTGTTTCTGTTAGGATTCTGCTGGAGTTTCTGGCTCTCTCACTAGGGCTGGGCTGCAGTGTCGGCTACAACAAGAGCATTGCAAACACTTTCAAGAGCCAGAAGTACTGTTTATCCTCCTGAAAATAGCCAAGAACAGCACGACTGAACAGTGACCAAACCGGTCTGGAATTGAAATCCAGCCTTGTACATTCTGTTTCTTTTCTCTACACAGGGAAGCAACACAGAAGATGCAGAAGGAGACAGGCTCACGTTGTTAAGGTAGGATGAAAACACCTCTTATTTAACTGCTTTGTAGAAACTTCTGATATCTCACTACAAGTTTGTAAAATATGCAATTATATTATATAATATACAATAATATCCAGATGATAGTTGGTTTGGTGGAGGAATAACCTAAAAAGGGAGGTTGTCAAAGTCTTAATGCTGATGGCATTAAGGCCAGTGTCACCAGTGGACACTCAAGCAAATGTATTGTGGATTCATGGATGTGTTGTTTGGATGGGTTTTTTTCTCATTTTTCCTCTAATTTTTTATTTTGCTTATAAAGACCTATATCATGGGTCATGTGTTGGTATGACCTGAGCAGCTGGGATGAACTGCCTGGTTGCAGGAAGCTTTTGATGAGTTTGCACTGGTAGGGTGTTGCACCAGTTGGCTGAGACAAAATCAGAGTAAATATATCAATAACTGGGTGTGCTTAATCCTGGGAAGAGGAGATGGCTGACAGTGAGGTCAGAAAGCTTCTTTTTGGAGAGCTTTGGGGTGTGCAATGACTGTGCTTTATGCAGATGGCTAAATATTCTGGAGAGGGAAAAACTGATGTCTAAATAAAACTGAAATCCTTCCTCGTGTTTCTGTCAGAAAGACTTGGCTTTTATGAACCTGATATTTATGTAAGCAAACAGCATTATGTTGTGCCCCAAGAGTAGATTTCCTTGCATTGTTTCTCCAGCAGACTTATCTGGCCACAGGGCCACAGCTTAGTCAAAAAAATTCTTAAAGGAATATTTTTACCTCTAAAACTTAAAACCACAGTAATGTGTTCCCACCCCTATTCACATTTTGGAGTAGAAATACATGGACTAAGATAATAGTTACTGGGAAATCATGGTACTCCTTCCAGTCTTTAAGATTTTGTGAGTTTTGTTGTGAGATTCCACTGAAACATCATGATGGAGACCAAGTTTGTAGTGCTCTGCAGTCAAAAAGCTGAGGAAAAGTTGTTATGGTTCAGTACAACTTCAAGTATTTCCCAGATATTTTTTAACACCAGATACTGCTGAAGTATCCCACTTAATATTCTGCTTGCTTTGCCAATAATACAGCAGATTAATAAAACACATTAGGTAGGAAATAGCTTTCTGAGAGAGCTAGGAAAGATAATTCAAGGTTTTAGACAAAGCTACTGAAGCAGAAACAAGCTGGCATTTCCCAAAAGCTAATCAAATACTAGTAGAGCAATAAGGGAGTAGCAGAGCAACAAAGGAGTATAGCACATCATTTGGAAGACAAAAGTCAAGAGAGAAGATTTCAAAAGATACTACTTCCATTTGCCAGCAGATAGTACCTCCCAATGTCAAGCCTTTCTCACCACAAACATTCCCAAGCATTGCTGAAATGATAATAATCTGTTCTGTGAGGGGGCATCTTCTAAATCGTAGAGGTTGTTTAGGTCTGGTGGAGGGCTTGTAAATACTACTCACTCGTTGTTAGATCTGAGATACAGTGTCGGGGTCAGTAGATATTGGGCATTTTTTCTATATTTTTGATCATAGTAGTACAACTGGCAATTGCTTTTTTCTGATCACACTGAATTTCAGTCCTTCCTTCCTACACTGTTGGTAAGTAATGGTCTGGAGGTTCATCTGGGTTAAAAAAAAAGCTGAGTTTCGGTATCTACAGTGAAGAGGGGTAGGAGATGGGGTGAAGAAAGAAAAAGGAGAAATGAGTGTGTGTGTGTGTGTGTGTAAATGTATTTTATAAATGCTGGACTACATCATCAGGGAGACTGTAAATGCTCAGCTTCAACCCTACTGGAACTAGGAAATTTTTCTTAGGGATTTAAGGTCAAATCCCTTTGGATACAGAGTGAAATTAAGCCAAATTTTCAGTCTTGAGCTTGTGCCATACATTTTGGATTAAAAAAAATTGCCTCATCCTCAAATATTTTTTGGTGAATCCATCTGTCATGATTTTGTCTCACTAACTGAAATTTCTGCAGAAACCTAAGTTATGTATTCCTGAGACAGATTCACATTTCTCAGAGAACTTAATGTTCAGTGGTGTTCATTCTTTTACAACCAAGGTCTGGCGAAGATCAGCAAAAAGCTTTTTTTTTTGTTTCCAGGAAATTAATTTGAACATGCCTGTCTTGGAAGCAGTGCTTTGTTTTTTGTTTAAGAAGTATTATCAGGTGGGCTAATTGCTGATGTGAACTTCCTCAATTGTTTGTATTAATTTTGTAAAAGAAAACTAAGTAAATGCTGTTGGTAAATATTCACTCTGCAAAGCGTTAGGGCAGTCAAAAAAGCTGTAAGCCCAGCTGCCTGTTACTGTCACTCAGTTGAAGTGAAAATGCAGAGTAATTTGCTTGCAGCAAAACAGGATGAACTAATCATTTGGCCATTTAGTTGGAGTTAGTGTGGCACGTTCTTGTCTGAGCAGAGATTGGAGCACTTGAATGAAGCGAGCTGACCTCCAGCAAACTGGGGCATTATTTGCATTGAGATACACTGCTGATTTTAAAAAAAATTATCCAATGCCAAGGTCACTTTTGAAAACAGATCTGACAGTCTGCTCCCCAAAAGCTGTGTCCTGCACAGAGCCCATTACTCATGCAATAGATATGTAGGAAGAGACCCACAGCCTCAGTCTGCTGTGATGGGAACAAGCATTGCCATTAAGGAGCCTGCTGGATGTATTGTGAAGCCTCCTGATTCTGAACCACAGCGTTGGTATTTGGTTGCCATAAAGTCACCTTTCTGTTAAGTCTAAGCACAAGTAACTGCTGCCCAGTTTCTCTGTGAATACATCAGTAAAGAATGATGTTATCAAGTGCACATGACTGGGAAAGGACAGTAAATCTACTTCCTCTTTCCAAAATTCATGGCTGGTTCTGAACTGAGAGCAAGACTACTTAGCATGCACCTTCTTTCACATCATGGACATGGAATACGTTCTTTGTTGTTTAGCACACCCGTGAGCTGTTGCTATTTTCTTTTATAATACAAACAGTTTCAGTGAAAACAGGATGATGTTTCCTGTTTCAACTACTTTCCTGCCTTTTTTTCGATCATGTGCTCTTATATTCCAGAACTGAATCTTGTCCCAGTAATTTAACATTTATCAAATTCCTTTTATCATGGAAAAGTGAGGACAACTCGTATTTTAGATTAGCAAACTACAGACTTTAGTTTTGTGTAAAAGGAGCTGTCTTGCATTTAGCTGGCTTAGTGTTATGCCCTTCTATAGTAAATCAGTATGATACCATTAGATACCTATTAACTGATTTTCTGTTTTGTTTCATAGAGGCTTAACTTCACTGCATATACAAATCTCTCAGCTGAGGAATCTGATATACAGAAATGTGTTTGATAGATGTCTATTAGTATGCTTAGCCAGCAGTTTTAATCTCTTTATATTAAGTTAGCTATTAAGGGCAAATAAAAGTGTCTGTCTTGGGGGACAGGCTACTGGCCTATACAGGAATCTGGAAATGCTGCAGGATATTTTTCCTTTGGAAAAAAAAAAAATATGGCAGCTTCATAATGTTGGGCTTTGATTTTTGTTACTCGTTTCTTGTAAAAGCTAATTGTTAAATCTAATTAGATTCTGCTGGCTGAATTCTAGGATATCTGCAGCAACATCCCAGGACACTGTAACCAGGGCAATGCCTCTGGGCTGACTGTGCAGGATCCCAAATACTGCAGGATCCCAAATGTGCAGGATCCCAAATACTGCTGAATCAAGTAGGCACAAATAGCACTGCTGCTGTTCTGGGAAACTGGTCTTTGTCCTGCCTATTCCCATGCCAATCCTGTTGCCTTTTGGAAGAAGATGCGTGAATGTGTGAAGTAACCAGAGCTCTTAGAGTATAAAATATTGGTGATACACAACTGACATATCTTGTCCCATCTGTCAGACAGGGACTAACAAACTACAGAGTCCACCAAGGCAAGTTTGAAATGGCTGAAGTGTGTTTTGAAAGAAGGGATCACGAGGCTGATGTTTCACTTCCCTCCTTTGCTCTCCACATATTCTTTTCATAAAATATGTAAATGCAATGGCAATTTGTAGTGAAGGCCAAAGCTGGCAGAAATGACAAACCATGGCAAGTGTGTGATAAAACTTTCCAGGGTAGTTTTTCCTCTGATGCTCTTCTGATCATACTTAAGATTTTAAACTGATGTTTTTTCTTCTTGATTCAGAAAAGTTGATCAAGGTTTGGAAATCTGTGGTTATGCAGTAAGCTTGAAATACCAGTGCCTCTTGCAGTACTCTGGGATTGCCTTTTTTTTTTTCTCTCTCATGTAAAATATATAGGAAATTAAAAATTTGATTTTCATATATTCTTGGTCGTAAGGTCAGTGATGAAGACATATTAATCAGTAACTGCACTTGGCTTTGCTTTAGTCTCCCAAAAATCCCTTTTTACGTCCTCTAGGTGAGGGTTTTAAAGAAACATACTGGTTTTTATGTCTGTCCATACACATACTCACGTACAGGCTTACTTTAGTGTTAGCTAAAAGAATGTGAAATTCTGTATGATTCTTTCATTCCTTTTGTTTTCAGGGTAGGACTCTTTTGTCTTTGTTGTTTTTTGGGGGGTTTTTTTGGTTTGGTTTTGTTTTTTGTTTGTTTGCTTGTTTGATATGAATTAACCCAAAATAAACCTGGTTAAGGGGCAATACATCCACACAGCCTTTTGCACCAGCTTGACTAAACCAGCTTCATATTACTTCCCCATTGTGTGCATGCACATCCTTACTGCAGAGTGATGTGTAATGTGATATACCACCGTGGTGGCTCCCTCACACCCACTTAAAAAGACCTGTTTTCATTGATGTTGCTGCTGCTCCCCTGCTTACATTGACCTTTTTCAGTCTGGGGGCTTCTTTTGTTTGGATTTTTTTTGTGTTTTGTTCGGTTTTTTGTTTTCTTTCGGGGTTTTTTTTTGTTAGTTTGTTTTTACAGTAATGTTTGTAACACTGATTCTTTCTGTTTATGCAATCAGACTGGTCAAGAGAAATCAAGTCCAGTCATTTTGGGCATTTCCTGCAGGCATGTACGGATAAGTCCAGACTAAACAGATGCAGTCCCATCTTCTCTAATGATTATAGTGAATGTGATCCACTGTCCAGAGTGAGCTCAGTCCTGCTGTTTATTGATACAGGGTATGCCACAGGGATTTCTTCAAGTGGTTTTGATGAGGATGCAGACATAAATTACAGAACTACACTTTCTAAGTAGGTTCTGTGCCAAATGTCAAGCTTTCATTTCTAACTTTGACCGTCAGAAAGGAAAGAAATGAGAATTAGAAGAAAAAAAAATAGGGAAATTGGTAGAAAGGAAAGAATTTTTGAGCATTTTCCAAATGAAAGATGATAGTTTTCATCCAGTCCGGTAGAATTAAATCCAATAACCAGTGACGTGTGCAAAATCCTTGGAAAGTGTCGCCGGCAATCCTTGTAAATTGTAGCTCGGTGGATTCTTTTTTAGCTCCAAGGGTTTGACAGTAGAACCCTGCAGAAGTTTTAGGTTACCATATTTTAATCTGCAATTCTCTAAATTTCCCTCATTTTCCCTTAACAGCAGTCATTTAAATTTGCCAACATTTCACTCTTTTTTTCAGGGAGCATGACAGCCTGAGGAAGTAGCAGTTTTCTAGAATTTATGCCAAAGCAAAGCTTTACCTTAATCGCTGTCAAGTAGTTTATTTTTCTCACAGCTGTAAAGCAGGTGTCAGTATCTCAGTATAACCAGTGCTGTAGTAAATTGAATGAGGCAAGCACTAATATCCCTGAAAGCTGAAACAGCTTGGAGGATCCTAAATCATATCAGCTGTGTGGCTGGAGCTGAAGAAACAGAATTACATGAACTGTTTCTCTATTGATTTCTTTTGAAAATAGAATTTAAGAGCTTTGAGTAGTCTATGTAAAAAGAGAAGCCAGTCCAGTTTACACCAGAGATAATTTTGAGCTCCAAAATTCATAATTTCTCCCAAGTCTGAGGCTGGGGTTGCTTTACTTCCTACTTACACAGTCTGCCTCTCCTATCAAACAGCAATGTTTCATTGCTGCCGTATCTGTGCACCTTCCAAACTGCTCTGGAATAACAGGACTGCATTTCTGATCCAGCTGGTGCTGTATCTTGACTGGGACCTGAATAGGATCACCTTGGGCAGTAGATACTTTGAGAGTGAAAGGTGTATAAAGCACCACAGGGAAACATTTTGTAGCAGGGCTGTCCCTCAGGCAGGGTTCTTTCACCCAGTGTGCAAAAATCAGGCAACACACTGGGTCAAAATATTTGATTTGATTACCATTCTGCACAACTGGGTGCCAGGCACATAACACAGCCAGCACTCTTTTTGGAGAAGCAAGCACAGTCT